TAAAGTCTATAGCTATATATTAAGCTTTAAGGTTATAACTTCCAAGTTAAAAGGAATAAGACTAGCCCCTTTTAAAACCCCTCTAAATATTTGCCTTACTTATAATTAATTAAAAGGTAACATAAAAGGCTAGGAAGAACTTAGTCTTAGAAATATAGGTTATGACCTTTTAATTAAATACTTTATTTTTTAATTATATGCCTTTTTTAAAGGCCTAAAGTACTTAATATTAAGGGGCTATAATAAGTAGGAAGAATAAGATAATATATAAAGTATAATAATATTATTCTTCTTATAATATTTTTAAAAATTAGTAAATTAATAATTTTTATAGCTATTAAGGATTAAAAAATAATAGGTATTAGCTAATTAGTTAGTTATATATTAATTAAAGTATTTTAACTAGTTAAGACTTATTTTATTATTTATTTAGTTATTTGGTATTATAATAATAGCCTAAGTGCCTAAGAGGTTACTCTCTTAGTACTAATTGATAAGGTAATATTAGCCTATAATTATTATATATAAATTAATTACTTAGCCTTTTATATTAAATACTTAAATTACTATAACTTATTTATAATCTCTAGGTTAAAGTAATTTTAGGTTTTTATGCCTTTCTAGGCTAATAATAATTATACTACTTAATATTATGCCTATTATAAAGCTAGTCTTATTGAAGTTCTAAATATTATCTAATTAGATATTATACTTTATAATTATATTCTCTATAAGCCTAAACTAACTATAAACAGTAATTAGATTTTTATATTTAGCCTTTTAATGATTATATCTCCTCTAAAAATATATCTTAAGCTATAACTACTACTTAATAAAATTAATAGCCTAGTACTTACTTATTAGTAATATATTATAATTAATAAGTAGTTAATTTATTATTTTTTTAATATTATAATACTAAGAAGGAAATCCTTATAAATTTAAGTTAAGGATATATTAGATTATAACTTATTCCTCTAGATTACTTAGTTTCTATAAGTTTAGAGTATACTTATTATAAGCTTATATTCTATTTATTTAATTAAAAAGCTACTAGTAATTAGTATTATAAGTCTTTATAGCTTATTATAAACTTAATTTTAGGTCTCCCTAAGAGGCCTTAAGTATAAGAAGTATATTGGCTTTATTATTAGATTAAGATATATTATTTAGTTAAGAATTAATTAATATAATAGTAATAATATAATATAAGGGATTTTTATCTGGTTTACTTACTTATTTAGTTTACTTATTATATGTATTAATACCTAGTTACTTAAATTATTATTTGTCTTTAGGTATTAAGTAATATAATATAATATTAATATATATAGCTTATTTTCTAAATCTAAGACTTAAATTTATACTTCCTTATACCTTAAGATTAATAACTATTTAAATCTAATATATATACCTCCTTTATATTATATTATCTTAACTAAATAAATTATTTAATATTAGTAAGTATACATACGGTTATTTTAAAATCTAAAATATATAAGTTATATAAGAAGTATTTACTACTTAATACTAAAAAAGTAGCTACCTTTTTTAAAATTAATAAGCCAACTAGGTATAATTAACTTAACTTTTCTTTTAAGACTTTATGTTTAATTATAATTTCTTATAAAGTTCTTAAATTTCTTTACTTTCTTTTAAGTATTATTTAAATTAATCTAATAACCTTTAGTTCAGCTAAAATTTCTTAGGAGTAGTATCTAAGAATGCCACTTAATATAATATATTATTAGGGCACTTATAACTCCTTTTATATAATATATACTTCTCTAAGGTCTTAATACTTAGTTAAGTATACTTTACTAAGCCTTCTTTTAACTTATATATAGTTAACTAGCTTTACTTCTTCTTATTAATTAATAAGTTTTAGCTCTTAGACTTCAAGGTTTTAAATATTAATTAATACCTTATTACTTTTGTACTTATTATTTTAAACCTCTTATTAGAATTGTATACAGAAAGGTAATAAAACATAAGTTCTATCTTTAATTTCTTTTTTATTTTAACTTTATTTAATTTATAAAAATATCTTAAAGTAATAGTTTAAAGCTCATTATAAGTTCTTAATCTAGGTTATTAAATATTAAGCTTTTATAATGCCTCTAAGCTTTTTAACTTAAATTACCTTTTCCTAAATAGTAATTTACTTTTTTTAGTTTATTCTAGTATTTAAAATACTTTTTAATACTTTAAAATAATATTTTTAAGCTTACTTTTTTCTAACTGCCTTATTATTATTATATATAGCTTTAAGCTTAAGGTAAAATTAGGATATATTATTATACTTACTTAACTTATTTACTATAAGTAAACATATCTTAATATAATATAGGCTTATTTTTCTAATTATTTAATGAAGTATATTTTAAATATTATATACTTACTTATTATATCTTTTAAAGTTTATACAATAAATATTTATTTTAACTTTATAAACCTCTTAGTTTATACCTAGTAATTTATTATATTAAGTTATATAATATTTACTACTTTTACTGCTTAAAATAATTAATAGTAACTTATTACTTAATCTTATTTAATAATCCTTAATTTTAAATCATTATAGCTCTTATATTTAAAAAGTCCTAAAATAACTTAAATTAGATAATTAGCCTAGCTTATATACCTTCTTAGTAATTATTTTTATAATATATAATTATTTAAAAGAATCCTAATTATTAGGGATATTAAGAAGGTAAATTTTGATATTTATATTTAAAGATATTATATTATATAGGAGTTCTTAATTTTAAGGCTTATTTTATTAATTTACTTTTTATTTTTATAATTATAGCTGCCTTAAAGAAGTATAGCTCTAAGACTTTTAATTATTAAACCTAACTTAGATTATACATTATTCCTTATTTTATTCTCTAGGATTTATTACCCCTCTTCTTAGAGATATTACCTTAGGCTAATCCTATTTAAGGTTCTAACTTATTATATAAGCGGCTTATACTAATCCTAAGGTTTATTTAAGCTAAACCCTCTGCGGGATTATATAATCCCTCTCGATTATATAATACCTCCGGTTTAATAGCATTGCAACGGGGGGGACCCGGTACAGAGGTCACGTGCTACTAGGTGCACCGGGTCCGGTACAGGTATGGGCTCCCATGCTAAAGGCGGTTGTTAGGTGATCACGGTTGGGGTCGTGATCCTTTGCAGGCGATCACGGTCAAGAGCGTGATTGTCTTGGAAATCTTTAGTGATGGGTTGAAAAATGTGGGGTACACGTGACGTAACCGCGGGGGTCGTAACATTAAAGGCTTTTTAGTAAGATAGAAAGGCTAGGATCCTAAGTATAACTAGTAAATAAAGACTACTAATATCATAAAGGAACTAGTAGAGTTATTTTATAAGAAATATCTTAAGTAATTCAAGGTTAATAAATTAAGAAGAAGTAGTTAGAATTATATATATTTAGCTTATAAGGCGTTACGATTCATGCCCGTAACAGCGCTATAAGGCTTCTATAAGGCAGCTGTAGCACACCCATGATTGCTTGCATAGCGATTATGGCCCAATCTTTTGCCATGTGGTTTAACGACTTGTGCAACCGTTACAGTGCTGGCCATGATTTAATTAGCGTTGTAAAGTTTGGGAGGAGAGATATGATAGAGGATGATGAAGACGGAATACAGGAGCATGGTGGCCAGTATTTGTGACAGGAGCTTTGTGTCAACCAGTAACCTAGCGAACCGGTCAGTCTCTCCTATCTGGCTCCAGATCATCCGAAAGAAGCAAGCCTGTTATCGTCCGAGATAACGAGGCGAGGCTCCTGAATTGCAGTTGAGAGAACCAGGATATGACAAGCCTGCTGAAGACGCAATTGTCACTGAGCGGCAACGCTCGCAATAACTCAATTCAAGTCGGGTTTTTGATTGGGGCTGGGCTTGGATTGAGCTGAAATTAGCTAATGAGAACTGAGCTGAATAAGTCTAGCCTAAGTAGGCAAGGTACGCCCCGCAGAGTTGGGTTTTTTTTTTTCAGTTGACTGGGAGGCCAAGATGAGATACGAAGTCCTAACCACAGGTCTCCAGGAATTCCTTAAAGAAAGAGGTAAAAGGTACCTATATAGTACTAGTTTTACTATCCTGACTTAGTGACTTGCAAGCCAGGGGGTTGGAACAAGTGGACTCGGATTATTACGAGCGTTGCATAATGGTGTGCGTACCTCACAGCGATCATTATTTGTCTGATTGTGTGTAACAGGGGGATTGAAAACACGCACGGGCTGGCGTCCACCACGACGAGATACTTGTCTGCTTTTGGCTGCCCTCTCTGATACCCTAGAGCTACAGCTGAACGTTTGAGAGCACATGCGCAAAAGTCAATGATTGGTCATATGACAACACTGACTTGGAAAATAGCGAGAGCTCTCTCTGCATGCACATGAACAAACATCGAGGCTGCTCCCGATTGCTCGCCGTCATGATGGAGTGCCTTGGTATGCTCCCTAGCAAGCAAACCGCTTTCGCAACACAGCCACCGATCATTCCTGCCTATCAGAGTCTTTTGAAACCTCTACACGCTGCTGAAAACGAAAAAGACAAAAAAAAGGAAGATGTTACCTTGGCCTTTAATAGAAAAATGGGAGGTTGAGGTCAGCCGCACGCCGGAAGCGCCAGATCCCCCGCCATCTACCCGCCCCCGCATTTCCACATGAACACCCCTGATGCATCATGGCTGAATTGAGTTCTTCAGATCGGATTACCAACCACTGGTCTCCCTTCTCTCTTTCACTATAAGACGTGATTCACAATAGCGAATGTCATTACGTGGACTCCTGTGAGTGTCTAAAAGCCTAACTTGTATCCTCCCGATCGCTGGTGCTCAGATCAACAAGAAGTCCCAACCCTTCGATTCCATAACAACCCGCCAGTGGATGTGAAGTTGCTCTTTCTCAGACACCGTAGACTCGGGTGCGCTGACGTCCGAGAGATTGTCGTTTTGAAGCTACACCTCGTGCAAGACAGTGGTTAGACGTCCCATGGTGCCAGACCTGGACGAGTCGCCTATTTGAGCCAAGCAATCCTCGAAAAAGGCTCGGAATATGCTATCAGGAACGCTGATCGAGCCGCCGACGAGGTAGACCCAAGAAACGTTGCGGTCGAATCCATCGGGGCCCGAGGGGATATATCGAAGGACTGATGCAAACCAGTTTCATGAGGAACTTTTGTCTGGCGTTGAATCTAGGGGCTAGGTTGCGGAGAAAGATGCATGCAGCAATGCGGAAAGCCATGGTAATGTTCTTGGAGAGCTGCTTGTGTGAAAGGCTGCCATCAGCATTGACAGGCATCTTTGGGCCAGCATCTCCTTTAGTCGAAATAACCAGGGTACGAAGAATAAATACGTGCAGGTAGAATGTAAAATCGTCCATGCCGTCCTTCCTGAGGGACTCGAGGCAGGCGATTTCAGAAATGAGGTGCATGACCTGGTCATCGCAGCCCCCCACCCATGGTGACATATGTCGCCAACGTATAATTTGAAGGAAGTCAAAGTGTTGGAATTGGTAACGGTCCTTTGGGTATGGCGACAGCTACGTGTCCCTCAGGTGGTGCCATCAGCCATTTTCTCTGTCTGTCGTAGACCTTCTTTCGTTAAGACTTTGGGTCAATCGTTGTCCAGAAGCGCTTGCTTCTTCTTGCCCTTGTTCTTGTTGACCCCCATCGCTCTCGCTCTCCATATCATTTTTGTTGGTCGCATGGGCGGTCATGTTCATCATAATTCGACCCGCAGGAGCCTCTGTCATCTGTCTGAATCGTCATATCCGAGGTTCTACTTTCCTGTAGGACGAACGCACGCCAACGCCTTCCTACGAAAGCTGCCAACCAGGGCCTTGAGTGAACCTCTCCAGGCGTCGCTTCAGGCCGGCTCTCATCCAGCAACCAAAGCTTGACTTGCCAGACTCCCCATGCCTGAAGCCCGTCCCATCATGGCGTACGTGGTACTGCGTTCAGAGTAAGTTGCTCAGTGGGAGTCCGTCGAACGCCAACATGTCCCATCATTATGGACTCTTCCGTTGGATTTGCAGAATGGAGGAGCCGGGGAGGCTGTTCTCACCACGGCGATAAATTCAAGGCATATTAGACGTAGACCAAGGCAACTGATGAGTGCCACATGTCCGAGATCGACACTGGACGCCAGTTGAAAGAGCAGACGATCACCATGAGCGAATTACAGTTGCCACAGATCCGCCAAGAGTGAAGCAAAGAAGCTTATCTATGCGGATGATGCAACACAGATTAAAGAGGAGGTAGCGACGATTCTGGCTGAACTACGATGCCATTGAACAGGAAACAGACGCGAAGGCGAGAACGGAGAGCCTGTCGAACGAATAGTGGCTCAAAGGGAGACGCGGGCAAAGGAGGTATCAAGGGCATGGCTATTACTGTAGAGGTAAACAGGATACCTTTGCAAGTGGCCTTCGGCCCTAGGAGGAATTGGAGCAATCTCGACCGTTGTGCCGATGTCGCCTGGGAGCATGCTTCAAGGAACACCCATGGAGATTTACCGGACAACAGACTTGCGACAAGTAACGGGGACCCAGCAATCCGGCCTGCCGTTGGTGAAGGCTGGCATGTAGTAGTAAGACAAGTTAAATTGACCTCAGAACTACTTGATGAAGGAGAGCTTCTTTGATCGACGTATTGGATGACGACTCAACGGCCAAGCCTGATACGGACTCTGGAAGTTTATCTTCGCCTCGTTGGCGCAAGAACATACCTCGGGAAGATGGCGACCAGCACCTCGATGAAATGGAGGGTGATGAGGAGCGTGAAGAAGAAGCGACCCTGGACGCAGTTCAACCTCACTAGAAGCAAGAGACCCGCGCTATGCTTGATTCCTTCTCGTTGAAGCATCTGGCTGAAAGAGTTGAGTCCCTGGTTCCCAAGGAGTTTGGTGATATGTATTTGGAGCATTGCAGGTGTCAACTTTGACATGTGATGTTTCGAAACCCCGGAAATACCACCAGCAAAACCTTTGGCATTGTGTCGTCTTGCTTTACCATACTTCCATTTTGAGCATCTCTTAGAACGGTGGCCCCATTGCTCGCGGCGGAAGCACAAGCTGTAGTTAGAATCGGGTGGCTGTGTTGTCTGTGAAACTTGGCTCGAGCCTTGTCTGGCACCGTTGTCACCTCCATGTTAACCTTGGATATGACTTCGAGTTCATAGAGTCGCGATTATCGTTGGTGAAGTACCGATTGCCATTTCCCGCTGCTGGCAGCATTGTTTTGGCCAGTCCTGAATGTGGGCCGCGCCGTCTCTTGATGCAAATTGATCAGCAGCATCGTCGTGTCCCGCTGCTTTGTCCTGTTGTCCTCTTTCCCAATAGTCTTCAGAAGTTACAATGCTGCTCCTCAGCAATCCCAGATGACATTTCGCACGTTGCCGGGAGTGAGAGTTGGATCTGTGAAGCTGCTGTCTCAATTGACCTTTTTGTAGAGACTGTTCTTGACTCTTAATTGCAAGCTCTTGCCCTTGCCGCCATCGTTAATGCGGGGAACGAAACCAGTCTTCAAAGCTTGCCAGAAGTTCGGTGGCATTCGGTGGGAGAATGTGCCGGTTCACTCTATAAAAGCTTTCAGTGACTCATATTTGTTTCGGGCGAGTTGTTGAGCCTCAGCTATGAGAGCGTCATCCCCTGCTGTGTTGGCTTTACCGAACTCTCCTCAAACAGGAGGGTGATCTCCTCGAAGGTTTAGACTCCAAACCTCAATTCCTCAAAGTACTGGAGCTCGTGGCCCATCACGTGCCTGTGAAAATTTGGTAACAGAAAGGTGTTTGGAGTTCGGCTTCCTCTAGGAGTTCCAAATCTGGATTCTCGCGCTTGACAACGTTCCTCAAGAACGTGATTTAGATTCTCGGATTGCATCTTCCTGCTTCTCCAAGAACATCTCACCTCGTGCCATATTCATCGTGTCTGGAGACGTGCCCATCGAGGGAATACACACCTGAGTTTGCCGCTCGATGTTCCTCATAGTTAGATGAAGATGACGCGCGCGACGACAACAGGGCAAGGTTAAAGGTCTCGAAAAGGCCTGACAGAGCGTTGGCTGGGGGTTGTTCAACGTATGGTGACGGCTCTGCGGATGGATCTCCAGGGCGGGCGGATCTTGGTGTAGTAGATGAGGAGGTCTTTTCTTGTGGCCTCAACATAAAGAGAACAATTGCGAGCCGTGAACCAACTTGAAACTCTGCTCATAAATGAGAGTATTGTAATTCGATGAAATGTTAGTTAAAAGTGATAAGAGATCGTAGTGCAAATGTTCGTAGGAGGTGAGTGATGATGAAGAACGAAGGTTCAGAGTTTGTCGGGTGGGATTGTTATGATCTTTGTATTCATGCTGGCTTCCTCCAGCGCTATATCCCCCTCGCCTCTGAAATCTTGCGGGAGTTGCCTCCCTGTACACCACGTCAAGTGTCGCTGAATCACTTCCCTTTCGTTGGCTCCTTCACACGGTGTGCACAATGTGAAAGCTTTTGCTCAGTCATGGTCGATTTGCTGATGTCGCGTCTTTCGTTGCCCTCAACTCTGCCTAAGTTTATAATGAGCAGTCTCCTCAAACTGCTGGCGCTTGAAGTGGGCAAGAAGGCATGCCCCCAGTAGCAATGGTATTGTAAGGAGAATTGGCTCCAGTGTCTGGTGAGCTATCGTGGTGGTGTCTGAGTGAAGGTTTCGTTAGGCTCGAGTCGATAACAATCGAAGCTTCCAACGCTACTATCAACTCTCAGGCCCTAAAGTCCAGAAGCACTCGGCTGTAGATTGACTTTCTGTATTGGCTTAAAACCGCTGTTGAAGAGCGTTGCTGAGTGCTGTGCGTGAATCAAAGTGCCCATTCTTTAGAGTCGGAGGAGTTGCGCTTTGGCTGCTGTGTTTCGTCACGCCCAGCCTGTCACCCTGCTGTCCAATTTTGTCCAGCATGTATACCAGAAGCGAGCCTCGTCAACCTCAAGGCTCTTCTAGAAGCTCCTCCTCGCTGCCAAAGCTTGCCAGGCTCTCGGGTCTTCAACTCCCGCTTGTTCTTTTCCGCACCCTACCAGCGTCATGTCTTCACAGTTGGTGTCTCTTCGCCCTGATTTTCACGGTGTTGCCAGCCTCGTCCAGCTACTCTCAGCACGTCATTCCCAAATGTTCCCACGGCTTAGTGAGTAGCAAGCTTTGGTTCCTCTCAGTACTTTTATGTGTCGCCAGCGCTGAAATGCCTGTACGTGCTGGTACTGGTGTCAACCTCACCGATGAAGATGGATCGTCAGTCGCTTGCCTATTGCCAAGAAAAGGAATCGGCCAGCAGTGTAGACATACCTGAAAGCTTCTGCTTCAAGAGGCTGTGATACAGAGTCGATGCATTGGATGCCAGTTATCAGCAAGCATAGTTCTTTCCTTCGGTTGGCGGTTCATGAAGTTCTGAACAGTCAGTCGCTACAGGGTACTCTGAGGCATTCAAAATGCAGGAAGCGTTCTAAGTAGAGTAAAGTAGATAGTGAGCTCTATTGTTCCAACTAGCGTCTTTATGATCTAAATTGATGCTGAGTCCTACATGATATCAGTGCCAAAGATTTATATCTAGTTCTGAGAGCAGAATTGCTGTGAATGTAAGTCTTGGTTCAAGAATATTTCTCTCCTCTGGTAGACTTTTTTTCGGCGTCTTTGCCATCTTTGCGAATGAAGGGAGGATCTGGCTTATCGTGATGTTGCCTTACCTCAGAAACATCTTTGCCGTCAGATCGTCTACCGCCTACGTTGGATTGAGAGTGTTAGAGATCGGCGGTTCCCTTTGAGCCCATACCCCCCTCCAGAAGCTCACCGTCTTCCATGACGGTGCGCAGCTCGAGGTTCTCGTCTTTTGAGTACACGCGCACACTGATGATGCAGATGGCGTTCTATGGCTCGGCGTCTTTTCCCCCTCTGAGTCGGAGACTTCTGGTGTTGGAGTGGTGGTTTGGTCGCCTTGGAGGGGGCGGAGTTTGCGGGCTATGTAGTCGCTGCTGTAGAGGGCTTCCCATTCTTCGACGGGGGAGTCGGAGGATTCACCTGTTGAGTCGTAGGCTGGGCGAGGGGGGATGGAGAGAGGCTCTTCTTCCTTGACGGAAGCAGGAGGGCCTCCGCTAACGGGTGGAACTTCTTGTTTCTCTCCAGTACCTTCGGCTGCAGAGCCCATTGACTCAGGGTCAGGTGAGGCGAGCCAGTCGAGACAGAAATGACCGCGTCGTCGCGACCGTTGTGATGCTCATTAACGACAACAGGCTCATCCTTGTCCTCTGAAATCTCGATCTCCTCAGTCTTCTTACTCAGAGCCTCATCGCCAGCCTCTTCAGCCTTCTTCCTAGCTTCCGCATCTGTTTCAGCCTCGGTCTTAGCAAGTCTCTCCATCTTCATCTACTCGCGCTCAGCCATGACCATGGCGTTGAATTCCTCATTGAGAAAATTTTGTTCAGCCTCCCGCTCTGCGCGACGACCCTTTCGCTTCTCAAAGTTCTTGCTCTGTTGCGTAGTGACGTCGCGGTTGATGGAGCGCTTTTCCCACCATCGGCGAAGCACCTTCTGACGACAGGCAGAAGCCTTTTGCTGATCCTTCTTCCGTCGTAGCCTGGCCACTTTGTCCATGTGGTCTCAAGCCTTGTTGTGAGCCAGATACTAAGCATAGCCAACCTGAGCAAGCTTCTTGTTCTCAGTCCTGTCAGCAGCCTCGCGCTTAACGACCTGCTCAACGGACTGAGCGTTGGAGTCTCGCTCGCTAGTGACCTTGAGATAGACTACATAGCTTCCAGTGGGGAGATCAGGCAACACTACGGAAACAGAACGCTCCATGAGGTAGTTATGGTGAGAGCGGACAATGTAGTCCTCCGCGTTGGGGCTGTCCTCGTAAAGTATCGTCCATCAAGTTGAGAAAGGACCAAAACAAGAGGCGAATCCCGAGTCAGCTTGATGTAGAACTTCTCATGGTAAGCCGCCTTCCATGGGACATCAACATCAACCTAGCGCTGGCAGCATCGCTAGTCACGATCGCATGAAGGCAAGAGGGATCCCAGAGGGTCTCCTGCGATGGGTCCACGCGTTTTTCTCAGAGCGGACTGCAACCATTATGATTAATGGTCAAAGTTCGGAGAGCAGACCTCTACCACAAGCATACTCCGGCAGGGATCGCCTTTATCACCGATGCTGTTCCTATTCTTTGATGAAGGCCTGGTGCAAACCCAGATCGATCTGAGCGGTTGTGCCATCGCGTTCGTGGGTGACTAGACCGACGGCGGAGAGCAACCGGAGAGGGATACAAGCAATAATCAACAAGGCCCTGTCCTGAGAGGGACGCATCGGCGCAACTTTTGAAGTGGGAAAGACGGCGATCGTACGCTTCATCAGGTACACAGGCAGCGCAGACTTGGAACCGTTCACCATCAAGGGTGAGAAAGTCATCCCGAAAGCCCAAGTCAAGATTCTTAGGTTCGTCATGGAATCACGCCTTTACTACAAGCAGGATATTGCAAGGGCAGCGACGAAAGGTCTTGAGGCTGCGATGGGACTGAAGCGACTCAAGGAGATGGCTCCTTCGACAACGAGGCAGCTTTTTACAGCCATGGTAGCCCTGGTGGTGGACTATGCGTCCAACGTCTGGGTGCATGCATACAAAACAGTAGGGTCGTATGCGTGTCAGTGTTCAAATTTTCCCAGGCGTTCTGCTTTTCGGCAGAATGGCGTTTGCCGAAAGTTCTGTTGGAGATATAACACTGAAGGTTCGTCCGATGCCCATCTCAACTCAAATAGACTTGGTATCTTCCTTCAGCACCTCAGGTAGCCGTGACTTTCCGTCACCTAGGCGCATCGCCTTTCTTCGGCACTGCCTCCTACGAAGCGGCTGTATCTTTGTAGGTTGCCAAATTTCCAGATGTTCCGAGTCTGCCAGACCGTAGCATCCCAATCTCCTCCGCGAGCTTTCTTTTCAAGCTTGGTGTTGGGTTCTGATTCCGGTCGTCCACAGAAGAGTACTAGCATGATTATCAGTGCTTTTTTGGTCTGTGCCATTTTCGCTCTTAGTCGCTATCGCATGAATCTCAACAATTGTTGGTGGATGAACGGACGGAGCGCTCTGTAGCAACTGCAACTCGCTGATGGTGATTGTTTGCTCTTTCTAATGTTGTCCAAACTCGAGCATTTAACAGTCGTCGGGCACTCTAATCTTCTGCGAGATATGCCTTGATTGTTTCTCCGTAGCAGGAGCTGCCTTCCTAGGCTCGTTTTTCAAGTTTGGTCTTCCCAGGTGAGATTGTAAGTGCGGTAGCAGCCTCTCGAATTCTTCCGGCGATTGATTAGTTGTCTCCTATATTTGTGTTCACTCTGGAGTAAACTCAAACTCCCAGCAGACAATTCCGACAAGCGACAGCGGCTCCCGCAGGCCAGCTGGTGGTGAACCGCATCGTCTACCTTATAATAGGGGTCTTTTGCCGCCACCATCGGTGACCATCTGTTCAGCTGCGCTGTTTCCTTGGCCTACAATCCTTTCCCGTTCGGTTGGAGTGTATGGCATTGCGTCGTTATACTTCGTGATCCTTCTTCTTTGAGCATCCCTGAGAACAATGACCCATCGCCTGCAGCGGAAGCATCAGTCGTCCTTAAGTTCGTGTGGTTGTATCGTCTACGCAACTCGGCTGGAGCCTTGTCTAGCACCACGGTCGGAACCGCCATCTCCGGTTTGACTTTGAGTCCGATGTCGCATATGTATTAGTTTAGTTATCATTGATTGCCGTTTCCCGTTCCTTGTAGCACGGTTCTGGCTAGCTCTTATGTGCGTAGCGCCATCTCTTAATTCGAGTCGATTAATATTAGCAGCATCGACGTGCCCCATTGCCCTGTCTAGTTGTCCTCTTCTCCGAAAGCCTCTAGAAGTTCCTATGCTGCTCCAAGGTAGTCCCAAAGAACATTTAGCACCTCGTCGAAAGCGAGAGCTTAATCTACCAAGAGGTTGTCCTGCTTGGCCTCTGTGCAAAGCCTGTTCTGGACCCCTTCTTGCAGACATTTCTCCTGCCACCTTTATTCATGTAGAGAGCGAAGCCCGTCGGTAAAGCCTGTCGTAACTCTGGCAGTATTCGGTGGTAGATTTGCCGGTGCAATCTATAAAAGTTTGCAGTGACTCATATTTGGTTCGGGCGAGTGGATGAGCCTCAGCTAATAGAGCGCCATCCTCTGCTGTGTTCGGCTTGCTGAACTTCACCTCAAACAAGTAGATGATCACTTCAAAGGTTTTGTTTCCAAATCTCTCTTCTTCAAACAATTGAAGCACGTGTCCCCTCAAGTAGCCGCGGAAAGTTTCTGATAGAAAGGTGTTTGGGGGTTCGGCTTGCCCACCGGGTTTCGAATCCGGACTCTTACGCTCAATCACTTTCCTCATGTACGTGATATAGACTCTAGACTTACATATTCCAGCTTCTCCGAGAAAAACATCTTACCTAGCGCCATACTCCTTGTGCCTAGAGATGTATCCGTCGAAGAAATACACTACTCAGTTTGCATCTCGGTGATCTCCGCAGAGACGACGCGCGCGGCGCCAACAAAGCAGCATTCAAAGTCTCCAAAGGGCCTGGCAGAGCGTTGGCTAGGGGTTGTTCAAGGTATAGTGACGATTTTGCGGATAGAACTCCAGGCTTGGCGGAACTTGGTGTAGTAAGTGAGGAGATGTTTGCTTGTGACTCAGCATAAAGAGAACAACTGCGAGCCGGATTTTCTCAAATCGTTGGCCCTTGAAATATGCGAGTAGGCATACCCTCAGTAGCAATGGGTTTGCAAGAGGAATTGGCTCGAGTATCTAAGGAGGTGTAGTAGAGCCGCGTTGCAGTCTGTGCCTTGAAGACTGAATTGATCCTCAACATCTTTTACTATCAAGGAAAGGGGTTGATAGTTAGTTGAGTGATGCCGATAGGTCCGAGTTTACTTCTGTTTGCCTCTATCGTGGGGAGTTGAAAGCCTGATTCATAAACCCGGAATGTAATGATGCTTCACTAAGAGCCTGCTGGTATGAAGAAAACCCCGGGCCACAACATATTGCTGACGCAGTCTCAGGGGATGGAACTGCTTGATCATTGGACGCATTAGATAGTGTGGATCGCTGTTCGTTTGAGTTCGACATGAACTTGTTCTTGGTAGAAAGATTTGAGTTCACATTTATGGCGCAGGTATCGATGGGTATGCGACGTCCAGCACTAGCAGGGAGGGCAATCGGAATGCCACCATCTGGGAGGTTTGAGGGGCCTGGCCGGTAGCGCCTGACCGCCTCGAATTACAGATGTAACTCGCCCAAGATCCATCAACCATCGGCAGAAAGTCAATACCAGTGACCCAATCACCTAGTGCACGAAGTTGTTTTATGGCTCGAGTGCAAAGCGTTCAATGAGACGGATGTCAACCTTGTTGCTGCCGACAGCTCTGTATCCTTTCTCAGTAGTTGCAGGGGTGTAGGAGTCACTCTCCAAGGCTTCTTACGTCATGTTATTCTTCGAGGGCAGCCATTCTTCGAACCACATAGCGTCTTATTGTCAGTACCAAGCTTGTTGCCTCACAGTCGAAGATGAACTTCGTAAATAGCGTCGTTTGGGTTTGTGTCGCTGTTCCTGGGAAATGGATTGCTTGCGGAACAGGGAGTTATCGCCTGTATAGTCTACTCGTCCCAAAAATTGACGGACTGTCGATCGAATCAGAAGGCGATATTGACTCCTCTGGTCTCGGCAAGTGAGGGACGTTGTCACACTTCCTGAAACATTCGGAGTGTCTTGGTCGGAGACGAAGATTGATGATTTTTGAGTCGTCGTTAACCTTGTGAAGCTAAGTTTGTTGATCTCTTGTCGCTGAAAAGAATGCCGCTGGGTCAAAGCATGCTCGCCGCTTTGATCACTTTTTGTTTGTAAGTCCTGAAGATGTGTCAGGATCGTTTTGTCTGCAATATTGTGCTCGCTTGTCAGCACGATATCTCGTTCTCGACCGCGGTAGCATAGGAAAAGCATCGGCGGCTGGCACGGTAGTCTCGCAGGATGTGGAGTGAACTCGGGCGTATATGGGACAGGCTGCATCGAGAAAAAGCACAACTCGATAATTCGAAATAAGCTAGCCTGGTACAACGTCAGTAGGGCCGGCACTGACAAGTCAGGCGTAGGTCATGTGACCTGCTGATTGAATTCCATCGCGTGCTGTTGTGTTGGCAAGGTTAGCAATGTCATGGTGGCGGCGTTGCTGATAAAGCTCGATTGCAAAGGGTGACGGCGTGTTATTTGGAGGGAGCGTTATGTTGATGACGCCGCCACAGAAGCCTTGGTCAGAAAATGGAAAGAAGGTGAGGGCCAACTGAGCACAACTTTTCTACGTCAAGCATCCGTTCCTTTCACATGGCATACGATCATCGCAAATGTTGGTATCAATCGCGGTACAAGCGGATGTTCGTAAAATGAGTCATATGAACACGACAGACGCAGGCAAGGTTCACAAAGGTCCTCTACACATCTTACGTGTGCGCCGACAAAAAGTAGCACTAGACTGTAGCAGGCCTCAAAGTTTACTGGCTCCTTCAAGGGGTCCAAGGAAGACGATGATATCGCGTGATCGTGAACTTTCATCTCCCAGACCTTACGAATCCCACATAGGCTTACGTCTCAAGGCTAGTGGGCTCTTTGTGCTGTTACATCGACTCTCTGAGTTGGTCCGTATTGTCACGGTTTTCAAGTCGGGCACACCGCCCCGTGAACCTGCGCACCCGAAATTCTTGACTCCCCTCCCGAATCCTGCTTCCAGACCTATCGGATCTCTATCCAAGGGCAAAGATGTGATCGGGGAGAGCGGTGTAAGGTAAGTGGCTATTTTGCAAACAAAAAAAACACTGTTGTCTCGTTGTCAGTGGATAGCTATGCATACAAGAACAAGGTTTTGTTGCAGGCTATCCTGACTAGTCAATTTTGTTGTAGCGATCTTTAACATATGGGGCATGGTCCGGGCTTGGACCCTATGTGACTTGTGTTAGGTTACAAAGCCTTGGAGAATTCTTCTATAAGATTGATGGTCCAAGTATTCCCTCAGCGGACGTTGTCTTACCTACATGCTTTTTTGTCTTAGCCTGATCTCTCTGGCAAGCTATATCTATCAGAACGGCGGCAAACAGCAATGGTTCTCATCACTTCCCAGCAGATTCTTCCTTCGAATCCCTCCGGGAAACCTGCAAGATATTCTTCCGCCAAAATTCAGGAGCTCATGTCATTTCTGCAAGAACTTCATGGCACAGCTTCGAAAGGTGACATCAATAACTTCACGTCCTTTCTGGAATTTGTTCTAGAGAATTGCGATCGTGAAGAGGATATTTTACTTTTAAGTCCTGAACATGCCGCACCCATTGATGGCCTGGAATACATCCGTCAAAATCTTCAGAAAAGCAAACTTGATCAGGAGTCATGCGCCAATTGTTTGGAAGCACAAAATAGGGGTGGTTCGATCATTAGACCTATTGTGATAGGTGGCAAGCAATACAACACATCATCGAACTTGGTCACGATCGTGAACCCCATAGTTATGGAGGGGGGACAAATCAATTGTACCAGAGCGGATAATGGAGATGGCGATGACGGAATCGAGAGCCACGAAGGTTCTACTGAGCCAACGGCTGAGGGCTGCCTGACCCAGTGGAATGGCTTCAGTATATTTATAAACTCGAAGCGCGCAGACGACAACAAGACTTGACTAAGCGGAAGTAGTTGAGGAATGAAGCACTTTTCTGGCACGTACTCATGTCTCTGCTTAAACACATTCAGTGGATGATATACTCTATTGCTTTTGGAGGAACCTTCATGCATAACGATGGCAATATCATAAGTATATGCAATGATCATAGTGTACCTGATTTCCCCTTATTCGCACAATTGGCAAGGGCTCTTGTGTTTAGTAGCTGTGCCGAAATAAGAAGTCCATGGTTCTATTTTACAAATGGAGTTATGGAAAGAGTTCCAATTTTAATTAAAGACAGTGTTTTGAGGTGCAATCCTTAGCGTGAAAGCGTTGAATGTCCTAGGGAACGAGCGGCTTGGCGGTTCCAAATACTTCCAGAAATGACTTGACACATCAGGTCTTTCACCACTATATCCTGGTCACAAAGAATTTTACAGATCCCAATGGCTTTTGCTTCAAATTACTTTGTACTGCTTTAACAACGGAGTTCAGCCTGGCATACCGTCCGTTTCATCACCACCTTGAGCCCCCTCTCATAATCTTCAAGGTTCTGAAATAGCTGTTTTGGTATATTGGATTTCGGTTGGCAATTATAGACTGCAAATGAAAGAGCATTCAACTAATCAACCCCGTTTTTGCAAGTGAAACTGCATCTAGACTCATGTCTACAACTCCACCCTCGTGCGCGAGCTGTGGATCTGCTCAGATCACATGGGGCAGAAGTTGAAAAGACTGACCTGCCTGCTGAGTTCGATAATGTGCCAGAGGGGTATCGCATTGGACTTAATACTGAGCGTGGGCTTCAAAGGTAACCATGACATGTCCATTGACCTGTCGCTTGTCGCGCCGTGATATCGTGATCGTCACCTCTTGGAGCTTGGCCAGGCCGTTGGCGAGATCTTTTGAAGCTGAAGGCGGTTGGGAGAGCAGGGTTGTGTCATAAAATACTGGGATAGCTGATCCATGTGATGCATTCATTTTCACTCATTAAACAGCCCTCAAGCTGCTCGAAGCATGTCAGCTTCAAAACACAAAGAATTCTTCTGATTGAAGAACAGCGGCACATCTACCTAATAGGCTTGGTCTCATAAGGCTGTCTCGTTGATTGAATCATGTTGCGTCGGGCACGACATTTCTCAGAGCTCGGAAATTCCGGAGTCACAGTTTGGGCTAAATAACACGCCCTCCTTAGTCTCATCGTCAGAGAGCGGCTGAAACAGAGGAGCTCGGTGAAGCTGATAATCCCAAGAGGGTAAGCCAACAATCAGCCTGACGCCAGGTGAAGCGATGAACACTGGCTAGAAGAGACGGTGTGGCTGCGTTAGAATCAGAGGGCGATACTTTTATAACAGCAAAGCGAATTTAAATCGAGATCGTAGGAGCCACTAGAAGAGGAACGAGATGCGCAGATGGAGGTTGAGGTGAAGAGAAAGTGGACAATCTCGCTGTAGGGTAGTGAGGGGTACATTGATGGCGGGCTCAATGGTAGCCGAGATTAATCGTCTTGGTGTACTTGGGCAATAATTAAGCTAAGTCTAGAAGTGGAAGATGCTGAAGAGCGTCCAGATTTGAGAAAGCAGCTTTCACGCATACCAAATATGACGAATGTTAGTCCGTATAGTGGCAATTCCTTGCGTAGGTAGATGTGTTTTCTATGTTGTCTCCTTTCCCTTTTCTTGAGGAAAGAACAGACCCCTTATGATCCATCGAAATGCAACTGTTGGCTGCATGGCCCTACCGGCATGCATGAAAAAGGAAATGGCTGCATATTTTACCCCTCACAGATGACAAACAAACATGTCGCGACTACCTGGACCACTACAGTCATCACTGAATTATGGTGTGTGAGGCTCGGAAGTTATCGATTCCGTCGATGATTGAGCACCGAGAAGGGAGGGGTAATAGAATATGTAGGACTGAGAGAGGCAACAAGGTCGATTACGAGGCGTCAATGATGACCTGACCGGACGCCAAGAGTCAAGAGTAGGGGAGCTGAAAAGTCGAGATAACCAGCCCGTCCAGCTCCACCCATCAATATTAGATTCTTTTAGTCTAGATCGGCCCACCCCCAGGTGAAAGGCCATAATGGCTCCGTATCGTCGTAACGGAAAAGCATGATTTTATTGCTGCAGCCGCTATGGACCAAGTTTCGGAAAATGAATGGAACTAATTATCCATCACGACTTAGGTAATAAAAAGCACTAAATAAGCCTGTTCGCCGTATCCGAGATGGCAAAGCGATACGCTGATTTTGGGCTTGCGAGGGGTCGATATGAGCTAGTCCCTGCAAGGCATAACTTGAAACCAGTGACGTGAGCTAACAGACTTAGCGGTGGGGCTAAAAAATCGCACGCAGCATGTCCGCGATTACCCATGTAATCAAGGATGTGCTGTCGCGATCAGAGCCCCACCTTACAGCCACCTCAGCTCGATGGTGGCAATGTGCAATTCGGCTGGCAAAGTGTATGATTGCTTTTGGTGTGGCCGCCGGTTTAAGTATCATGCAGCAATGGGCCCAGGAAACCTTGGCTACGTTGGTTGAGAAAATGGCGCACTCCCGCCACCATACACGAAGCAACTCGTCAACATTGGTATTCGTAACGAGAGCGAGATAGGAAGCTCTAGTACAGCCAATACCTGCAAATCAGCAGGAGGCTTTTTCTGTGAGGGAGAATTCCTTCGTTAGTTCTTAGCTATCTTCGCGGAGCGGGCCGATCTGCCTAACAACAAGATGCCAACATGGTTTGCGGGGTAAAGCGTGTCACCTCACAATTGAGGAAACTTACGACAGCCAATGATTGCCCAGTCGCTTCTCCTCACTACCATGCCGCAATTGCGGTCAAGCAAGCCGTTTTGGGGGGTTTGACAGGGTTTGAATCAAAACCGAAAACGGCCATAGACCAAGCCTGTTTTCTCTTTCCTTGGAGAAGGAATAAACTCTATTATCCTTCCCTTCGGTGGCCCTAACGCCCACTACACAGCAGAGACATGCTTTCGGAACGGGCTAAATGGCACTGGAGCAATGCTACGAATGTGAGCGAGATAATTTAAATCCAGACCATTTTTAGCTTCTGGAGAAACAGCAGGCATCTAAGCCGGGGTGTATTCGATCATCTCCTTGTACATAGGATCATCATGCAGTATGTTCTCTTCCACTTTAAAACTGAGCCGATCAAGCCGCTTCCTTCTTACAGGGGATTAGTACACTAAGCCATACCCTATAAGCGAGGGAAAGCGCACGGCCGAGTAATTTTTGTATTCGGACCCAGAACCTAAGATCGAAGGAATGGTGACGGGCCAGAAAAAACAGTATTAGGTTGCCATTACAGTACCAGGGGTAATTGGTACAGCAGGGTCACCAAGGTTGGCACAGACGAAAAGTAGATGATGCGACGGGATTCTGATTGTTCTTTGTACAGTTGGTCCTCTCCTCGTAATCGTACTCATCGCGATGCTTCTTCCGGCTTGAAGTGGGATAAATAGCTCTGTGGGTGTTTTCCTTTAGTACCCAACCACGTTGATAATTTACCCGTACGGTGCTTTCATCCTGATGATAGAATGTTGGTGTTTGGAGGTTTCGCACAGTTTCGAACCTTGACGACAAACTCAATCCGAGAAATGGCTCTGATGGAAGTGGTGAATATAAGATTCTCCGCAATTCCCCAAACAAATCCCCAGAACGCGATCTGAACCGGAAATGGGGGAAAAAGGCGTGGGGGAGAGACAGTTTCATCTTCATCTTCTTTCTTTTTCTTCAGACCTGGCTGGTACACGATTGCCCTCCTATTGTTCTCAACAACGGAAGTGGGGACAGCATCAAATGCTGTCTGGGTCCGGGTTCTTTCCCAGAAATTTCGCTCCGACATTTTCGTTCAATCACTTACCCAGTTCTATGTGACTGATTGGAAGAGCTGCGTACCTAAACTTATGTTATTTACCTGTCACATTCAGCCTTCTTGAAGTGTTGGGAACAAGGACATGGGAATGTGGCGGAAACATCTCATCCTTGTCCGTCGACTAACATCCTTGCAGAACGTTAAATGAGACAAGAGAGAACAACGTAGTACCTCTCATTGTTTGATTGGCCGCTGTTTGATTTCGTCAACATGGCACTGCAGTATTAAAATCAGTCGCCTGAACGTCCCTCTCAAGATATCATTCTGCTCGACTCCCAAGGAAAATTCATATTTAGGAAATGGCAGCAAACGGTGCAGAACCTATCGTCGCACCTGATGAAGATGTCAGATTCCTTCTCTTGTTCAACATGAACATAAGCTAATTGTCATTATAGGCTAACGATCAGGACTCGTCACTTGGAGATGTAGGAACTGCCTTTTGATTGTCATGCAACGAGTGGAAAGAAGACCCCTGACGCAATGGTGACAGGATGCGATATCGTCGACCGCAAGCCTGAGCAGTTCCATCCTCGACTACCGTCAAGAAAACGGGAGAACATACCACCGATACAAGGATGGAAGTGAGTTGCTGACGGTGTCTCTTTTGGTGATCTAGAGAGCCCACACTGACGTCTATCACGCATAGAATATCACCTTCCGAACGATGATCGAGAAAACGACAGGCTAGGTATAACTGCCCCTTGGCATATCGTAGAGGAAATTCATGCTCAAGCAGTCTAGACTTACAGCATAATTTATTCCTTCTCACTTTCGACAACAAACTTGGTCTTTCACCCCCGAACCTCCCTGATTCTGAGGTCAAGCGCGTCCTGGACCTAGGCACTGGTACAGGAATTTGGGCAATAGACTTTGGTGATGAGCATCCTGAAGCCGACGTAAGATGAGTTATCTCGAGGTGAAGAGTCGAAGCTAATTCTTTGGAATTGTAGATTACCGGCGTTGATTTATCTCCCATCCAGCCCAGCTTGTGAGACCTGAATTGCGTTGGGATTTCCTATAGACACTAAAGATCAGCTAGTGTTCCACCAAATGTTCGGTTCCTCGTTGACGATATCGATGAGGAGTGGGATTACTCCGAGCCCTTTGATTACATACACAGCAGGATGATGAACTTTAGCGTTCAGGACTGGCCTGTTTACTTACGCAAAATCTACCAGTAAGTTTCGTTTGGACCTCTGTATTCTCCATGAGCCCTAAGTTGGCTAGGAACCTTGCCCCAGGCGGCTATGTTGAACTCCAGGACATCGATGTTATTATGAAGTCCGATGACGGAACTCTGACCGAGGACAATGCACTCCTCAAATGGAACAAGCTTCTAAACGAAGCAGCCATTAAGCTAGGTAGGCCTTTCGAAAAAACCGACGCGTTCAAGAACATCATGGCCGAGGTCGGATTCACTAATATCGTCACCACACGCTTCAAATGGCCGACAAATCGCTGGGCAAAGGACAAGAAGTACAAGGAGCTTGGAGCATGGAGCAACGAAAACACAAGCGTTGCTCTGGAGTCACTAACTATCGCGCCGTTCACGAGGGCCCACGGTTGGTCCAGGAAGGAGGTAGATGTTTTTCTGGTCGATGTGAGGAAGGATTTGAACGACCCAAAGATCCATGCCTATTGGCCAATGTACGCGCATCCACTCATACTTTGACTGTGCGGACTAATACCTCGATAGTTGCTCTGTTTACGGAAGGAAGCCTGAAGCGTGAGGGAGTATAATGGTGAGCTCATGAAGCTCGGATAGAGATGTCTACAAGAAGGCGAACTTAATGGG